AATGGCGACAGCGATAAACTTACCCTCCCTCGCACACACCCACCACCCAAATGCAACATCCTCTTCACTCCTCGGGTCCCTTCACATGCGAAGTTAAGCTCCCACCCACCCCCAATCCCAGCCAGACAGACAGCCAGCTAGCCAGCCATCCACACAGCATACTCGCACAAAACAAAAACGTTACCGTACCGCAAAAACCAAAAAAAGTTCTAGATTTCTCACACACTACTTCAAAACGAGCAAATAATTCCATATCATAAAAAATAAACACAACAACCCCTCACAGTTCTACGAGTTAAATTACTGCACTGTATGAGTACTCGTTACAAGGCAGGGCAGCAGGGCAGACTGGCGCGGGGAAAAATTCTTCGAAAGGGAAAAAAAAAAAAAAAAATCACCAAAATTTGGGGGTTTTTTTTTTTTGAGCGCGCAAGTATCGTGCCTTAGCGATACATTACATACGACACTCGAACTACGAGTACTTTCGCTGGATAGGCTAACGGGAAGCAGGGCACGGTAGGGTAACGTGCAGTTGCCGGGTGCGCATGAACATGAACAGACTTTTAGAGACAGAACCCACTGTGGTACTGGACGAGGCTATCTTCAAAATTCGCTGACACCCTCCGTGGTGACAACCACGCTGACAATTTTGGATCACCAATACCTCAACAACTACAATTTATCATGAGGTGAAAATAAAGCATGTTGTTAATAAGAGATCAGAAAGCAGTATACAGAAAGTAAAAAATCCTAAAACTCAGTTTGCATTCCTTTCTGATCCTTCACCTGCTACAGCCTAGAAGACATACTATCAATATACTTATTCCAATCCCTCAACACCAACTTATCCCATTCCTCCCTAACTGCATTTGTCATACTCTCTACTGTGCCTGGAAACACCGTGTGAGCTTTAATTCTCTGTTTCATAATTCTTCAAATCTTTTCTATGTGGTTGAGATTGAGGGAGGATATGGGCTGTGAATATACAGCAATTCCTAACATTTTTTTAACCTCTACCAACAAAATCTTCATTCCATGGTACGGTGCTTGGTCTTCAACATAAAGAGCTTCTGCTCTTACATTGTAGCTATCAAGCCCATGAAATGCAAGTGCCACAATTGGTTCCAGGATCTGACCAAGATAATCTTGACAGGTTAACACTTAACTCCTTCTCTTCTCCAAAACAACCAATGGCAATTTCCAATCATGGCTGATTGCACCCCATATCATCACAGAACCAAGTCCACTATGGTAGGTCCACTGAATACAGTTGTCATGATAATGTTTGTTCCATTATTATGTGACCCATTTAGAGCCATGAGAAGAGGTATCAAATGAAGACTTATCAGAGTATATTAATCCTCACCAATTGTCACGAACGTGGCTTAGCGAGGAAAGGGTTTTCACGTGACGCATAGTTATGAGTCACAGGTACGTTATTGTTTCACACATATGACTCATTCGGGTCATATGATTTGTTATGTGTGGGATTTGTGATGCTTTCGCACCTGGCTCAAATATGAGTCATGGGACGTACATAGGGCGAGTGTGCCTTACGAGTGTACCTTGCGAGTATGCTTTGCGGGTAAGCCTTATGCATATGATTTATGTTTTGCACATATGACTCATTCGAGTCATATGATTAGTTTATTGCGTTATGATTGGTTTATGAGCTTTTCGCACATGACCTCGCTATGAGGTCATGGGGTTTAAACATGTGACCATGTTGGTCACATGATTAGTTTGTTATGATTTTGTTTCGCACATGTGACCACTTTAGGTCACATGACTATGGGCGGAAGAACACTATATAAGGAGGCCGATGCGGCCGAGGAGGATAGGTTCTTCACGCTTTGTTCTAAGTACTTTTCCTACTTATTACTTTAACAAATATAAAACACCTTTACGATCTTTATCTTTACTGCGACGTTATTGTTACGCCAAGGAAGGTTCTCCACGAAGACGAGTTAGAGAAAGCTTACGATAGGCGTTCCCGATAGAAGACAAAGGTCTTGTACTATCAGTAACGTAGGCAGAGGCCTAGAGCTATCGTAAGACGAAGGAAGAAAGAGACAGAAACGAGAAGTATTGTTCCCCGTCAGCAAGAACTAACTATCCAGGGAGGGATCGTTACACCAATATGCAAGTGGTTTATCGCGAGGTTTTATCGCATACTCCTTTCTCTCCTTCTGACACTCTGAGAAATAAATGGCTTCTTACAGGCCTTGCATTAGAAATAACCTTTTTCTCTTAATGCTTGATAAATTGTGGTTGCTGATACATGAAGTCCTGCTTCTTGACCAAATTTTTTCCAGCAAAGCTTTCTCCCTTCCCAGTTCCTCCAAAACAGGTAGATCAATTGCTGGATATCTTGCTGTATCAGAGCTGGTGGACGTCTAAAGCGAGTATGGTTGCACCGTGAGTGTTGTATTTTTGACAACAAATTTACTATTGAATGAGGAATACCAGTTTGATGTGAGACTTCTGCCTGCAAAATACCAGTATCTAATAGAGTAAGGACTCTTACTCTTGTAGAAGTAGTCCATTCACCTCTTGGACCATTGCGTGGTGGTGTGGGAGGCATTTGTTTAGAATGGTTTTTTGTGGAAAAATCTGTTGCAATGGTCAGGTGACAACGAATTTTGCAGATAGCCTAGTACAATAGCAGTTAGACTACCTACTCGTACAAGTACCGGAACATCAAACCGTTCGCTTGACTTTCTTTTCTTTTTCTTCTTCAACTTCCCTGCCCATAACCGTAATAAGGCAAAGAGTAAGGAAGGAAAATGGTCTTGCCCTTCGTCTACTTGCGACAAACCGCCAAATTTTGGCCAGTACCGTTTACCCTACTTGTATCATAACCCGGTTGTTGTACAGTACAATGCCGTAGCTTACCGTACCTGTGGAAAAAGTGAAACCGCCCAAACATATGGTCATATAGTCTAATATCAAGAGTGTGATAAATGATAATCGGCATTGAATATGCCCGCCTTCAGAATTTTCTACTCATAGTAAGCACCAAAAGTCCGAGTCGCGAAAAGGTCAAGGTGGAAAATCCACGATAGGCAGATGGTCGATTTTTGGTGGGAAAAACTTGAGGTGTTTGGCTTAATTTAATATACAGTATCCGTACGAGTACAGTACAGTACTTGTGTCGTATCGTACATTTCTTGTCGCCGGATAGCACTGTAAAGTACCGGTACTTTTTGTGCTCGGACATGCGCATAAGGGCATTCAAAAAAAAAAAAAAAAAAAAAAAAGCTTAGAGTATGATACCAAAGTTAGTTGACGTAAGCAACTTGTAGTATGATATGATACTAGTACCATGATAGATACCAGGCAAATTATCATCATATACTCGAGTACAAACAGGAAGAGAGAATAACTCGGGCAAGTCAAGTATGAGTTAGGTAAGAATCTCGAAATTGGGATTCCGGTACAGTACAGTTACGAAATAATCCCATACCGTAGCGAATCACTTGCAAGACCCCCCCCTTCAGAATCTCTCCAATTGTTCTCTCTCTCTCTCTAGAGGAAAAGGTTACTTTATAAGTAGCAATGCAATCGGTCTGGCCGGGTTTTCCGACTTTACTTCCGCGCTTTATGAGCGTGCTCGAAGTACTGTATTGTACCGGACAGGTTATCGCGATTCTTAAAAAAAAGGTCTCGGCAACTCCGTAGAAATAGAGAGAGAGAGAGAGAGAGAAAAGATTCGATCGTGTCTTTGCCAAACGGCCATTCGCCGACATCGTACGAGTAAATAATATCAATAGTACGATAATTCACGGGTAGACTATTCCGGCAACAGTTTCGCTAATAGACTAACAACGCTGGCAAGTCCCGGAAACCAACGGCCTGTCGAGAGAAGAGAGAACAAAAAAGAAAAAACCCCGGATATCTTTACCACACACCAAGCCATGACAGAATGTTTTTCTTGTCTCTCTCTACAGCACGGCAAAATATTGTCAAGGCGTTTCGGAAATCACGATAACCAAGCGGACGAGGGAGGGTGAGGTGGAGGGCAATCTAAAGTTAGCATTTGTGGTAAGCATAGAATTTGTAGTTCGGAGAGCAGTGCAGATACTGACGGTGCATGTATGTTCGCGCCTCTCGCTCACTCGCTGATCCTAGTCTACCCTTCTCTGCGTGGCCTGGTTTATGGAGGGCTTGTCGGTTGTAGTCTACCCGAGTACGGTACGAGTGTTGTTGTGGCGGATACGATAACGGTGTGCCAGGAGCAGTAGGTATGATTATATCACGTACCGGAACCGTACAGCGAGATGGAGGTTTAGGAACCGAATGCTTTAGAACAAAGAAAGAGCAACGGGGTTGCCTGTTTTTTATATTCTTATTAAAATCGGTATGAATCCTCGCCTTTCCCAATTTCATCATCTCTCCCATCATCCTATCAAGCCCATAAAAACATTGAATGTGGTATATATATATATATACATATATATATATGCATAAAAAGAACGAATAATTAGTGATGTCGATCGGACAGAAACTGATCCCTCGATGACTCCAAAAAAAAGCGCAAAATAAACTCGATCCTAAGGTGGGAGAAAGCGCTCCCGGTGTGACAAGTACCGTAGATTATTATTGCACTCCCCTAGAGAAGTGCAACTCCGACAATAGCCACTACTCCGGCAATTATTCCAGCCATTCCCATTCCAGCAATGAGCCTGGGACCGGAGTTGGCGCCTCCATCGCTAGCTGTGATGCCTGTCGGAACGCTTGATCTGCTAGTGGTACCAGATGAACTACCGCTATTGGCGGTGGCAGTAAATCTCGTGAACGAGACGGTGCTGCGGGTGCCACCGCTGCTGGTGCCACTGCCGCTGTCGCCCGAGTCATCGGAACTGTCACTACCATTCCCCTGACAGATAAAGGTGGCGGTGTCACAGGTAAATCCGCCCTTGCAGCATCCAGTCCCACATTTGATGTCTGAGACGGAGCACTTGGAGTCACACTTCTTGTTTGGCAAGCACTTAACGCCTGCGGGGCAGCAAGTATCGGTGTCGGCGCAGGGGGAGTAGCCGGCAGGGCACTCGCTGCCACTGCCGGGTAAGGAGGTTGAAGTCGAGGTGGATGATAAACGGGCGGACGTTGCAGTTGGTCTCATTAAAGTTCTGGTACTTGATGATCCGGTGCCGTAATCGCAGGCAGCACTTCCATCGGCGTTGGAAGTGCAGCTAGCATTCGAAGGGCAGCATCCAGACCCGCATATAGTCTCGCCAGTCTTGCAGCTGCCAACGCCCGTGCATGTCTTCCCGATAGGACAACACCCAGTCTGTCCGCCGTAAACTCCACAAATAGTGCCGACATTACCTACACTCTGTCAATCACACATCCTTCCTACTGGCTCAGATGAAAGCTGAGGGGTCTCTGTTCGCAACAAAAAAAAAGCCAAACTTACAGCACCCCTCGAAAACACAGTTGATCTGTCCTACAGTCTCACACCCCCATTGCCTAGACTCTAACGAACTCCTCTTCCTAACTCCTTCGGGTGCGCTAGCATAGTAGGTTGGTGGCCCCAATTCTCTCTTTCGAAGGGCTGGCACAGCTTGTATTGCATTCATGAATACGTCCGGGATCGGGACCGCATCTCGACGGTTAATGAGTTTGACTTTGGGCTGGGATTCGCCGGATGCAGCCGCAACGGCAACGGAAGCCCCGAGCAGTATGATCGAAGTGGGCCTCATGATTATCGATATGTTTGGTGAAAATGGATATATTAATGAAAGACTTCAAACAAGTTCGAATGTACCAGGAGAATAAAACGAAGGACTGAGTTTATGCAACGTGTGGTAAGAAAGAGAGGGGAAAGAGGGAGAAAAAAGGCTTTTAACCTGTGGGAGGGGGGGATAAACTAAGCTTATATCCCTCCCACCCCTATTCCCGGCTCGCTTGTTGCCATTTCATTTATGCGGTATTCCCTCCCCACTGCTCCTCGAAAGATGGAGGGATGCTGTCTGTCGTTGGAAAGTTGGTGCAGGCAGGACATGCCCTGGAGCAAGGGATTGATTGACAGACTCAGTCGCGCTAGCCTCCCCTGTCCAATTTACCTTACTTGTACCAGTAAATACGAGATCCAAATACTCATGAAAAGCAAAACTGCCCGAAACGGGGAGGGGGGGATATGTTTGCCTTGTATGGTGGCTCAGAATAGCACAGATTTTTTTTGTCACAGATTTATTTATTATGATACCGCTCTCTCAAAGGTCGTCATTCTGTAACCTGAGCCAAAAATTTACTTTTTCTTTTGACGCCATGGCAAGGGTTTCGATTAGTTCACTGGTTGGGGGAGTGGGATTCGTAGCCGGACGTGGGAAAGTAGGCTGTGGGAAGTTGGGTTCAGGAAAGAAAAAGGTTCCAGCATGGTAACCTTTTCGAAATCGGTGATAGCCCCTGTCTCCGAGTACAGTACCGTACCGGTACTAAAAGAACCGTACGGAGGTACAGCTCCTAAGTTTTGTATGTTACACCGGTTGCTAACACGATGCCCACTGCGAGTGTAACATACAAAACTTAGGTGCTGTACAGTACCTCCGTAATGTACTCGTACTAGTACAGTACCTTACAAAAAGTTGTGCGGAGTGGTCCCTAATATCAAGAAGCGAAAGCGCTCCACTGGCTCACTCACCAATTCTTTGCACATGATTATTCTTCCCCTTCCTTCTCCCCTTCTTCAGGAGCGTGCTATGCTACCCGCTATTATGATACAAGTACATCCCTTTTGGTACTCGTGTTATATGGGTAAAGTCTTCAACGGGGGCAACATGAAAAGCGGCGCCTGACGAACGGGGGCAATTGGAAAAAGCGAATTCGTCAAAGTAGGGTAACAAAAATCCCTGTTCCTGATCCCCGTTCGACACTAGCCAGCTTTAGTTGTGCCCCTATCGGAGACTGCACATTTCTCGTATCATTCAGTGGTATCATGGATACGGTACCGCCAGCAAGGGTGCGGTAGAGCACCTTCAAACCCTTGTTCCATCAACTCGTGCATTTCCACGGTATTGAAGGACCACCCAATACGAGTAAACACTGCCTCATCATTAGCTCTGAAGTTTACCATACTAGTGAGGAAAAAAAACTATCTTCCAGCAGAAGGGCAGAATTGAGAAGCCCACTCTCCTCGCTTATTATTGGAATCTTCGGTCAAAAAAAAAACGAGCCACGGTACAGTACGGTACGGTATTGTGCCTCTCGCAGTATTTTTAAACAGTCTCGCATTCGGAGTACAGTACCGGCACTGTACCGGCTAATTGTCAAGCGCTTGTGCCACAAATTCCTCAGTACAGCGCTGTACTGTACTCGGGTGTTGCCTACTAGCATAACGTTCCACAAGATAGAACAGGTATCCAGGATAGGCCCACCGTAGCACGAGGGTTTCTTCAGCCCACGACATGATGAATGGCTCAGAATAGGGGGAGGGGCGCAGACCCCAGAGAACCCTAACTTTAATGTTCCTCTGCATGAGGATGAAGGTCCAAGGAGGAGGTGGAGGCGGAGGGAAACAAGCGCTCTCTCTTTCTTTCCTTGAATTGATGTCAAGATTTTGGGGAGTTCGTGGATTGTGTGTGTTGCGCTCCAACTCCGTACTTGTACTGTACAGTACGAACCCCGTACCCCCCCCGGGAGGGTGTTTGTGCGATCTTGAGCACCACCCAATAGAATTCCAATGGCGGTGGCATAATACCCTGGAAGTGCGAGTGCGAAACGGAGTGAATACTCGTCAGAGAAACTGTGTTCGAATGCATCAGGGGTCCCGCCCAAACCCGCCCGGTTCCAGCACCCCAAAGAATCGCTTTCTGTTCTTGCACGGAGTGATTGACTTTTTTTTTTCCCCTTTTTTTTTGACAAACCCCCGAGGATGGGGGATACGGTGTCGCGTTCTCCTGGTGGTGTGGTTTGGGGGTTCACTGAGAATACCGGTACTCTCAATATCATCAGCACCATACACTTCCCGCATCAAAGCATATCCTCCCCCCGACCCCCCTTCGTTAAAGGGGACGTGCATTGAAGCCAAAGTGCCCATCCCACTGCGCTTCATAACGACTCGGAAGAACTGAGGGTTAATAATAATGGGACAGGTGAACAGTTTGCACTTCGAGGGGATTCACAATCCTGAGGTCTTCTGGCGGGTGTCTGGTTTCCGCTCTCGCAACCACCAGGATGACCCGCGAGGCCGGGTGATATCGTAAGCATTGGTGAGGAAGAAGCGCTGTAGCCTAACAGATTTAGAGTGCTACACAAGAAGAGGAACCAGTTGCCGTACTGGGTGCGGAGAGAGGTAGATCAGGAGCGGCACAATTATCCATGAACCAGCGGAGGTGAGAGGTGCCCGTAATTGCCGGGTGAGGTACTGTACCGCAGCAAACTTTGCTCATGTACGAGTAGAAACGCAAACCGGTGTCATGCTGTGGGCCAAGTATTGGCACCGTACAGTACGATACATTTTCCACAGTGCACCCGGTGCACATGCTTTTCCAGCTTTCAATGCCCACAGCACCGGTGCCTTCAGTTCCATCCAATGCCGGTACCGGTATCACCCCCAACAAACCCCTCCCAAACCAAACAGATACCCATCCTCAACCATAGTCACACAAAACTCCCTACTTGTACTAGTACAAGTAACTTTTGCCTATGAAGTACTCGAGTAACTCCCCGACCACGAACGGGATCACCGAGATAGTCTACAAGTGCTGGCCCGGGATGGTCTTACCGATACTGGCACGTTGCCACATGAGCACAGAAAGGCCCCGCCTGCGAAATACAAGTAAAATAAAGCTATCACACTTTATTCTGATTAGTCGGCGCAGCAGAATACCTACTCGAATAGTTTTCAATAAACACTTCCATGGTTATCCCGGTCCGGGGCGTTGCAGCGGTAAATGAGGCTGAGGGGGCGTGATTGGCTCGCATACAGTACGAGTACCGGTACTCGTACAGTACTCGAGTATGCTCCACTCAATCATGGAGCCACTGTGGCAGGAGTACTCGAGTAAAAGTACCGTCGACTACGAGTACAGGTACCGGTACTTGTAAGGTAGAGAGCCCTTCATCTGATTACTCGTACACTGTACGTGCACCGGTGCATTCACCAATTTTCGGCGAGTAGAAATTGGAATCGCCTAAATTGTGCTCACCCACCCAGTGCAGGGTTCCTGGACCGAGCCGTGTCTGTCACTTGTTTGAGGGCATCGCATGCCGTGGGCCGAAGACAACATTTTTCTGCAGAGGTTCGTCAGTGGAGGCGATGAGGGTGGGCGGGAAAAACGCCTTAAACGGCAAAACTTTACTGAATTGAATCACGGGACCACTACTCGTACCCAACCGGTACTTTGTACTTGTACCGCACGAGCAGCGTGAGCCTCGCTTTCTCGTTTTCCTCCACTTGGACGACGGGGTGGCAACCCACTCCGTCGGTACGAGTACAAGCATCCGGGTACCGGTGCTCGGATGAAGCACCAGAACTTCCGAGGTTCTGCAAGAAGAAAATGGATTGGGATTTCAGTCCAAGTTTGGTGTGGGCGCTCGGATGCGCACAGATAACTTCAATATCCAGATTTTTAATCCCCCGCTGTCCCCGATCTCGTTAATTTGGACACCTCTTTGTCACGCATGAATCTCTGAGCACTTGGTTTCTTTGTACCAAAACCTGTCCTCCTTCCCCGGATCGCTCGCTGTGCTCGTCTCTGGCAAGGTGTGCTGTACTCGAACATTGAGGGTGTGATTTTGTTTGCCCCGGATGCTCACGGCGTGCAAGAGCAAACAGCTCTCCAGTCCAGCGTCCAGAGCATGAATTCTTACCGATTTCGGAGCGAATCAATGGTTCGGAGGAGCCATAGGCGAATCGGGTGTGCTTGCCCTGGTTCTGTCATTTCTGCTGCTTTGAAATCCCTAATGGTATCTCGGCGGACCGGGAAGCCAGCTTTGAATGGTCGCGATGTCCCATATTTAATACAGCCGCTAGGTTTACATTCTCGAGCTGCATTGGCTGATCCACCCGAGCAGCTGGTTTGAAGCTGAAACACCGCACTCCCGGCAAATGCCCAGTCACGCCAATCCTCCTTCATCCCTTGCCTGGCGCAAGCCGCGCGTGGAGAGGAAGCAGAAAGGTGGGGGGAGGGGTACGGTGTAAAGGAAGGCATGGAGGAAGGAAGCTTTTCAAAATTCAATATATCCGGATCAGAAGAAACTTCATGTTGGTGCTGGAACAGCCTGAGGTTGACAACGGAGGGTACCGTACGAAGACAGCCATTGACCGGGCTCGAGTCTGCCTACAAGATGGAGAACATGCAGCCTACTTTTACCACAGAACTGACCGCCGTCGGCCTCTGGGCTGCATTCTACTATGGACGCTTCATTATTGATTCTACTTTATGAGAGTGCTGGTGGGGGGCGGGAAGATCAAAAAGACAAATTGGGTTTAAATTTCCAAGAGCATGCTCACCGTGATGAGATCCCCATCCTACACCTTCTTTACCCCCTTATGAAAAGTGTGGAGGTCTAGGGAAAGGTTTCCGGTCTGGTCCAGCTGCATACACTCAACAGCACCCTGCGCAGCATGAGATTTAGATGATGGACTGGCCATCAAACCCACCAAATTCAAATCCAATAGAGAATATTTGGGCACTATTCAGACATAGCCATCGAAAAACGATCTAGGGGAGACGAAGAGTGAAAAACCGTTTATAGCCACAATAACGGTACGCTACACAGATTGTATGTAACCCGTATCCAGAACAATGGTTGGCCAACTCAATGGTAAGATGTAATTTGGTTCCCATTGCCTCCTCATTATTTCTTTGCGATCTAGTAGCAACAGGAATGTAGTTCCAGCGATATCGCTCATAGCCAGCACCAAATAGCCTCTTGGGGCACCAGCTGCAGCGCCGCACGAGTGATAATCGATGCATCAGCATCTTGGGGGGAAAATAACCACCACCACCCTCAAATCATCCCCAACATCTCGACCCAATCCGGTCCGCGAATCAGAAAACAAAAGAGCCGGGCAGAAATCGACCACTGAAAACTCGAAAGTGGAATACCCCTCCCTCCCTCACCCCTCGCTCGAATAAGCGCATTCAAATCCGCGGCAGTCGGTTAATGCGGAGGGTGGGAGGCAAGCTCCCCCACACCGCTCTATGTATAATAGACCGCATGGTATCATATGCACGAATAGTATGATAGCAACCTGATTTGTCCCTCGCCACCCCCCCTCCCCCCCGCGTAAGCATGGATACCATCCACCCAGCGCTATGAATCCACTTCACTCATGGATTCGTAAATGGGAGGAAAGGCATAAAGTATCACTCGAAGGCGCGGAATTTTTTTTTTTTTCATTTAACTTATTTCTCCGGATGAAGTTGCGATTAATTGCATTACATTACCCCCCCCGCCCCGCCCCCCGTCGTCAAAGTGTTCTGTATGTGATAGTATAACGATAGATTTGATGCTCCACATGTCACCTCTAATCTATGATTATCAATTTGTCCACATTGTAGGAACCCGGGAAAGAAAGAAATGAAAAATCTTGGCGTCGTCTACAAATCTCCAGTCCCTCTCCAATCCCATTGCGAACCCATCACCCTTTCCTTGGAGAAGAAGAGAACTCTCTTTACCTGTTAGGAGTACCAGGATCAGATGCCTAGGAACCACCCTAAGTAGGGTAACCCTGCTCAGAATTGGAATCTCTGACCTCTAACACCACCCTCCAAGCCCCCTTATAGGGTCCACAGGTCATCACATATATCTATCTCAGTTGTGTCCTGTGACTATAATGCCACATAATTGAAGGTGTCAGAATAATACTATATACATGGCTGCTGTCTGTCTGACCAGATCCTGTTCGCAGGATATATGAGAGGGGATCTTCGGCAAGGTTTAAGAAGTAGAACGGAGTGAATCCATCCACTACTCAGAGAGTTACTAGGCTTCAAAGATGGAAAAACTTTGGCATAGGCCATAAGTAATGGGATGTTGTCATACAAAGATATGATATTAAATGTTAGAGGATCAATACAAAGAACCAACATATTCATGCCTATCCTACAATAATTAGAAGCTCAGAACTCTTAAGAAACACTATTGTAGAAGCTAATAGACTTTACGGAGTGTTATGACTAGGTTGAGAGATACATTGTGATTGTGGGAATTATTACCAATACCAGATAATGGCCAAAGCCCAATGACCTAGAACAACCAAGAGTTATCAAGATTCAAAGTAGATGACTTAGGAAGGTTGCATATACAACTACTCTTGCAAATGCAAACTTAAGATAAAACTGATCATTTTATCTATGAGAAAGACAATTGGGACTAATACAGTTCAACTAGAGAACTAAGTCATTTGTCTGAAAACTCTAATGATCAGGTAATTACTATTAGAAACAATAAAGGTTTCTGGGTACTTACACTTTGGGAGAACAACCAATGTGTCACGAACGTGGCTTAGTGAGGAAAGGGTTTTTCACGTGACACATGGTTATGAGTCACAGGTATGTTATTGTTTCACGCATATGACCTATTCGGGTTATATGATTAGTTATGTGTGGGATTTGTGATGCTTTCGCACAAGCATCAAGTATGAGTCATGGGACATGCGCCTGACGAGTATGCCTTACGAGTGTGCCTTACGGGCAAGCCTTGCGCATATGATTTATGTTTCGCACATGACCTCATTATGATGTCATGGGTTTCGTGCATATGACTCAGTCGAGTCATATGACTTGTTTATTGCGTTATGATTGGTTTATGAGTTTCACACATAACCTCGCTAGGAGGTCATGGGTTTTGAGTATGTGATTACTTTGGTCACATGACTAGTTTGTTGTGATTTAGTTTTGCACATGTGACCACTTTAGGTCACATGACTAAAGGCGGGAAGAACACTATATAAGGAGGCCGATGCGGCCGAGGAAGATAGGTTCTTCACGCTTTGTTCTAAGTACTTTTCCTACTTATTACTTTAACGAATACAAAACACCTTTACGATCTTTATCTTTAGTGCAACAATATCATTATGACAAGAAGCGCTTGTCACGAAGACGAGTTAGAGAAAGCTTATGATAGGCATTTCCGATAGAAGACAAAGGTCTTGTATTATCGGTAACGTAGGCAGAGGCCTAGAGCTATCGTAAAGACAAAGAGAAGAAGAAAGACAGGAAGAGAAGTATCGTTCCCCGTCGCCAAGCACTAACTATCTAAAGAGGGAACGTTTCACAATGTTGCAAGTTATATTAGAGAGGTATTTACATTGCATGTGAAGTAGATGTACTCTGCAAACACTCAAATGCAGGATATAAATATCAAAGTATCTCCCAAGCTTTTAGACATCATCAAGCAATAAAGAAGAGACCTTAACAATATAAAATTATTTGCACAATTCTATTCCATTTTACTTCACTTAGAGTAGTCTTAAATGAAATATGTTACCTTGAGGCTTCTAGGAAAAGTCTCTATCTATAGACAGGAATCTAGATTGGTTTATACAACTCTGAGTCTATACAGGTTGTCTCCACCTAACATTACCACAGATAAGTGGATGATAGATAGTAATTATGATAAAAATAAGATATTAGAGTAATGCTGTCTATTCTCTGGGGACAAAATTAACTAGCTGTCAACGGCCAGAAAATCTTCGGTGATGACAACCACACTCCCCTATCAACCCACTATTATGAAAACCCCAAAGAAAATTAAAAAATATAAAGACATAGTAGAAATTAATATTTAGTATACCATCCATCAGCCTTAATAATTGCTTCTACCGTATCCATCATTGATCCTGCCAAAGTATCAAAAACCTTTGGGTCCAAAAGTTCTCAACAATGAGTGATAGCCTCCTCTATAATTTTTTTGATCTCATTGACAGGGCCCTTCAGGAGAAACAGCTCAGGATAGTGCTTATGAAGCTTGTCTTTTACCAGAGACCAAATATTTTTAATTGAATTGAGGTTTGGTGAATAGGGAGGAATTTCTATCAGAGAAATTCCATTTCTCCTGAGCCATCTCCTGAAAGGCAAGTGAGTCTTAGCATTGTCAATGCTCAAAAATACCTCTTCCTCTCCAACATGCTCCTTGATATCCTCCCATATCCCTGAAAAGTCATATTGATCATAAACATCAATAATTGACTTTCCAGTCACTCCACCTTCAGCAGAAGTAGGATCAGAAAAAACTGGTAAAAAAAGACCATGAGTTTGACTATAGAAACAACCAGTCATCATCTGACTAATCTTTCTCTCTCTTTCCTAGCAGTAGGTTCAACACAATCCTTATTTCACTTTTCTTTTGGGTATCTAAATACCCATTTTCTTCTCTTTCCTCCTCCCCTCTCCACAGCTACCTTATCCCCCCACATTGCCTTCCTTCTCCACATCTGCCTTGTCCAATTCCTATGGGCTAATGCCAATTCCAATCTCTTTTGAGCTAGATCCTCATCCAAATGATCCCTCTCTTGTGCCATCCACTTTTTAAGAAGCTTTTGTGCAAGTCTTCTTTTCACAGTCTTAGCAGAAACATTGGAAGCTACTCTCTTAGCAATCTCAGAGTAGCTGGTATGGCGATTTTTGAGAGCTTCTTCTACCATAGCATCATCCTGCAACTTGGTAGTTTTAGGATGTCTTCCTCTACCTTCATTCTCCTTGTCCTCTTGATCTCTCTTTGCAAATGTCCCTTTAACAGTACTGAGAGGAATTTCAAGGTAGTGGAAAATTTGGTGATTTGTCATCTGAGGCTCGTGTAACCCGAGAATTCGTCCCCTTGTAAACTCAGAAAGGTACTTGGAGGGAATAGGTTGTTTGGCATGACTGTGAAGAATAGGAGGCATAGTTTATTGAAAAAAAAAAATTAAGTAAATTGGTTTGGTTTTGGTTGGTATAGAGCAATTTCTTTAGGAAGTGTTGAGGGAGTGGGGTGATGAGGGGGGGAGCGTTACCATTGCCATTGAGAGCTAGTTAATTTTGTCACCGGACAATATTAAGCTGATATAACTTGGATGTTTATGAGAAGCATGATATGGTAAAGTACTAGGATAAAAGGGTTTGTCTGATTAGTGGTTACTGAGTAACTCTTCAAAAAACCCCATCTCCTTGATAAACTACTTCTTAATAACTATGTTTCTAGAAACTACAAGCTACCTCACAGACTTTGAGAAGGGGCAAATTGTTGCTATAAGGGAAAACAATCTTTCTTTTTCTGAAATTAGATGACTCTAACTTTACCCTAAAAGTCCTGTTTAAATTTTTTACAACTGCTATCAAAAGAAGAGTGGTGAAAATAACCTCTTATTTACTATAAGACCCAAAATTATTGATTCCAGAACCTATTACCACCTAGTTAGAGAGTCTAAGAAGGCATGCTACTGGCCATGATAAGAATTGCACAATGAGATTGTCCTATATACTTCTGTTAAGACAGTCAAAAGAATTTTGATAT